TATATATATATATATATATAAAGACATGCAGAAAAACATTACTGACAAAGCCACGGGAAGCTGAAATGACCACTTCTGGTTTCTTAGCCGTCGTCAGCCAGTTATACCCGACCCCAAAGTGCGAAATGCCTGTGGCTCAACCCTGCGACCTGTTGGTTGGAAGTCCACTGCCTCAGTGGTTAGAAGCATATGGCGCATATGGTCTAGTAGACCCATGCGGTAGCCGAATGTGCGATGGCATTGGGAGCAGTTGGGGCGGGTGCGAAGATTGTATGTTGGTGCTCCAGGCATTGGTGCGTCTATCTCTGTGCGATGGATTCGCAAGTGACTGATCGGGCAGATGCGTGAGGTGAATGCACTGAGACGTTGTGGGCAAAATTAATCGGGAGCTTCAGAGTCGATTTTAGTGATGGTGCTGCTGCTGCTGCTGCTGCTGCTGACAGTCGGCGCTGGGCGATGAGCTCTTGATTACGACAAATGTTTCATCTACGTGTTCGACCAAGAGTTTCAGACAGTACGAACGGAAAATCAATCGACAGCCCCTGCAGCATGGCTTCGGTAACCAACCAAGACAGGCGGAACCCATTTTTGTTCCCTTCTTTCACTCGTAAACCCGGCTGTTGAAACTGATGAAAGTAGACCACGTCAATCGATAACCTCATCTCGCCTGTCTCTATTTTGAAGTGTCTAATTTTCCTTAGAAGCTGTTCAGTCGACTTTACCGTCAACTCGGAATTTTCGGTGAGGAGACGGGACCGTTGGTAAATCCACTTCAACAGTCCAAAGGTCGGGGCGCCGCGTAATGAGACGGCGGGGCGTAGAAGTAACCTTTTGTTATGCCCATTTGGCAGACTGCTGAAAAGCGCCATCGCGGCATCTGCGCCGTTGCGGCCAGCGTCCCCTTCCCTCGAGGACACCCGCCTTTCTCAAATTGTCTGTCGTACTGTTTACACTGTTCACGTGATTCTTCAATCCGGTATCTGAGGCATATCAGACACCTAGAAATGGGGCCTGACGAGATGACGACATAGTTCTACGTGGTTGCCTTATTCACCTCCATCCGCCTGTGGGAGATTGGGCTGTTGTTTCCATAGTGTTGAATTACCTCCGCATACGTTTCCTTGCGGTAAACAAACGTGTGTAATACTCAGTCAGTCGTTCGCTGTACGAGACATTTTAGTTTATTGTCGTCTTTCGGTTTCTGGATGTTCTCATACAGCGGAAAACTGGCGGAGTATTACACACGTCCGTTTACCGCCAGGAAACGTATGCGGAGGTAATTCTACGCTATGAAAACAACAGCCCAATCTCTCACAAGCGGAGTGCTGTCAAAAGTCTGCTACATCGAGCAAAAATACATTGTTCCGACGAAAAAAAGCTACCGAGTTGAGTTAAATTACCTGTTTAACTTATTTCTCCAGGATGCTTACCCCAGAGATTCCGTACGTCGATACACGAGACAACCAGTGTTAGGAGCAAAGCAACTAGATAGTTTCAGTCAAGCGTCCAAAGAAAATATTTGGTGAATTCTACATCAGAAATGTGTCCGAAATCGTCGAAAGACACTTGAGGACACACCAAATAAAAATGACGCACAAATCGGCGACTACGTTACGCACTCAGTTTGTACACCCTAAAGATAGGGTTGTCTATTTTGAGAAGAAGGAAATCGCCTATAATATCCCACGCGGTGCCTGCGCTGCCGTGCATTGTGGCCATACGGAAAAATGGGCCCCT